ATATGACATCATTTCTCTCAAATCAGCTCTCAGGCACTTGGTCATATCTTTTTCTTGACCTGCAAAAACTCCGCTTGATCCCTCGCTCATCACAATTCTTGAACATGTAAAGAAGAAACTTCTCTGCGACTTCTCAACTGCGGTTTCTCCTCGTGGAATGTCATTAACTACTTTTTTCATCTATCAATATTCTTCAGCAACTTCTACATAAAACTCTTTGCTGAATCCTTCCTCCCAGACTTGTCAATACACTTCCTGACGACCATCTCCTAAAGCGCTTTGTTTGCTCACCTCCCTCGACTTCACACATCCATAACTTGTTCTGCGCTTTTGTTCACTTTCCACTTCCTTTTGACTGCTCGCTGACCTCTCTGCTGAACCGCAAGATCTTTGTCGTCTAGTATGTTCTCACTCAACAGCCCTTTCTCTCATCTCAACGGCAGCTGACTGATCACTCTTATATTAGTTCCTTTCTCCTGTCATCTTCCAGTTATCTGCTCTCTCTCATGTCATTGTCCTATCACCTTGTTGTTTCTGCCTTTAGGTATTTATTCCTTTCTTTTTCATTGTTCCTTTTACTTCTTCTTTGTCACATTGTCATATACATGTTACTCATAAGAGATAAAACCTTTAGTTTATTCATTCACAATATCATCTCATCATCTCGTCATCTCATCACATCAGATAATCATCTCATCTGATGAGGAACCAGATGGACAGAGCAATCAATCCATACATTAACCAGTGTGATCTTAATCAAGTGCCCCATTGAGATCATTCAGACATTGAGAAGCATAGGAAAAGGAAAGTAACAACCAGTACAACTTGTGATCTTAAACAAGAGACAGTGATCTTAAACTATTGTGCTCCCAACCAAAGATAAAGGAAGAAGGAAAAGACACCTGAATAAGCACATTTTTTTCTCAGTAGTACTAGTATCTCATAAATTCTCATTCATTATCAGTATATACACCAATCTATTTTTCAAAATACATAAACATATAAAAAGAAAAAAAAAAACATCTTAATCATCAATTCCACTGCAATAGTCTGCTGAATTCATGTTGATCTAGGTTTGATAAGAGACTGCTACACATAGCGCTCTCTATCATCAGTTTTGCCGCAACAATAAATAAATTGTTGTGTTAACTCTTGTGTAGTACAATAGAGGGGCAGGTATTTCAAATCAGCCATAACAGTTTTTAATAGATTATTACATACATGATATAGCTCATCTGCTATTTCCCCCTCACAGGACTGCCACCATTCCCAAAAGAGTTCTCACAGTGTGGACAGCTCCACTTCTTGCTCCCACTCTTGCCGTGGAGGACTAGCTGGGCTTGTGAAAAATGTTGAAATTTTCCTCATCTTTCTCTCTCTGCCCTTTACCCTTTCTTAGCACCCTCAACCAGACTAGATTAATTTTCCCAAGTAGCAGGTCTTTGTTGTTTTCTGAGTTCCTACTGAGTCAAATTTGAACCACATAAGCTCAACTCAATATTCTTGTCTCTACGGTATTATCTTCTCTCTTTCCTGACTTGTTGTGTGTCATTAAAAAATTGATTAACAAGAATTAACGCCTTTTGTTATTTGTGACTTAAAATCTGGCCTTACTACAAGAGAATGAGAAGTATTGTATAGTTTGTTATTTTCCAAGAACTTATTTTATTTTCTCTCAATTTTTTATTCAAAATACTTTTTTCTATTCATTACTACAAACCACAATTTGACCTCTTGTACTTAGCCTATTTAAACATGACTAACTGCAGAGAATGAAAATCATCAGTTCTTTTCACTCCTTCACCTTGAACCTTTCCCAAAGAAGGGCCCCTGCCTTCTTTGTGCCACCTTCTCAAAATTCTCAACTTCAACCGGTCAAGAGCTCAAAAACTCAACAAAAAAGGGGGTTGGTGTGCACTCTCTAACCCTAACTTTTCCTGGGGGGGATTCATCCATCAACTGTTGAGAACTTGATATAGTTTATTAGGATCCCCCTATGTTGTATGCTTCTAACCTATACACCCACAACTTAGCCTATATTGTGCATGTATATTGTTGAACATGTAGCTACAGCAAGTCTATGTGTACTCTCAACTCGATCGCACAACGAGATTACACAGGACATGTCACAAGGTACAAATGTTGTCCAAGCATCCGAACTCGATACAGACGACCCCAGGCTCCCCGATTGCCAAGCAAAGGAGCATGCCGAGCATGCAAGAATGGCCTTTAGCCATCCTAGAAAGCAATTAGCTAACAAAAGCAAAAGCCAAGCCGGTAAGAAAACCAGTGAAGAGCTTGCTATCCTTATCAATGAGAATGCATCGCATATAAAGGTACAAGTAAGAGCAGCACTGTGCTTAAATGTACACATGAGAAAGGCAAAGATAGCTGAGCTAACCGCGAGAAAGAGATGCCGGGTAACTCTTGGAAATTACCAGATGAAAAGAGTCAAACCCACGGAGAAAGCAAGCTTTCTCCAGTGCTTTAATGGAAGAGGAGGACCCTCGGAATTAGTGCACACTAGAGATCGTTTGTTCGGACCTGGGTACCTGTTTATACCTAGGTACCTGTTCATTTTTTCATGAAAATAGATACCATGTACCGCACCAGACACCTCCCGGGGGGTACCCAAGGTACCCGTTGCAGGTAACTCAGGTACCCCCCCTCTCTTTTTCACCTGGTTTCACTCCCAGAGTCCCAAGTCACTTTATTATTATTATTATTTTTTCATATTTATTGTAAAATATCACTCACAAGTCACTTTTTTGGCATTTTTTAATATCTGTTGTAATATATCTACATCTAATTGGAAGAATCTTACGTTTCTATTTTTTCATATTTATTGTAAAACATCAGTCCCAGATCACTTTTTTCATTTGTTCATATTTAATAATTTATTGAAAATTTGAAACTATCTACAACTTATAACTAATTGGAAGAATCTTCATTGTCATCCAAAACCATCACCTTCCTTTTTGATTTTTTGTTAGACTTCTTGTTATCCCTGAGTCCCTGTTTCCATGCAGCCAAGGTACCTTCTTGGATCTTGGAGGTCTTGGAGTAGAAGGCCACCATCATTTT